GGCTAAAAGTTTCGCACCCGGAGCAACGTATTTTACGTTTGTCGTTGGCCGGCAGTGGCGTCCGGTGCAGCTATCACTATGTTTCGACGAGAGGAGTCGAAACAATTCTCCGCAGCTTGGTTAAAAAATTTATTCAGCCGGTCGATACGACTTTTTTCCACCCAATAACGTTTGCTTCGCAATTCCCTGATTTATCGATTCGAGTGGATTCAAATTGTTAAGTCAGATGTATTCTTGCTATTTTGAGTCTGACGAAATATTATTATTATTATTATTATTATTATTATTATTACTATTTGTGGGAATAGTTACCGTTAGATTACAGTAAAAATATAAAGGACAAATATGCCAAACCAGATACGTACAACAGATACACCAAGAAAGTATAGAAGTGCAAAAATATAAAGAGATGATACAAATACAAACATCACACAAACACTGTGATAGACTTTTGTTCTAAGAAAAAGTATGGAGATTTTGCAAACTAGTCAATATCATAGGAATTCGCTGATTCAAAGGATAATGTCTTAGAAGAAGGAAGGACTCAGACACCGTGTGTTACGAAATAAAATTGTTATAGTTTCTTTTCTGTATACGAAAATATAAATAATATCCTGATTATTCATGGTGGCCAGTATGTTACAATCTCGAGATTTTAATGATAAATTTTCTCAATATTAAATTAACACACTACCGTCATTTGATGGAATGCTTTTATTTATAGTAATTGACGATATTACAGTTGCAATATTCGTATAATTGTAGAATAAACGTGCAATGAGAAATTTCGAATGAAAAATTTCACATGTCACCAATAAAATGACACTAGTCAAATATTTATAAACAGTGTACGTAATATTTACGTTTGATATTCCGAAAAATCTTGTACAATATTTACAGTATTCCTTTGTAATATTTACCGCTGGTAAATTTTTAGATTAGCGGTTTTTCTCAATTTTAGCCATTTCGCTGCAGGTTTGTTTTTGAGAAGCTTTATTTCGTTTTTTTTTAAAAATCGACCGAGGGAAATCGAAAGAGTTATGTAGTTCCTGTACTTTTTTTAAAAGAAACGTTATATTAAAAAATTTCTTTTCCCATGTCATTTTGTTTTCAACATTTCACTGTATCCGCGATAATTTATCAGATGAAATGGAATCGAGTACAACATAATTTACACCATATAAATTATTTTTACTATTTGCTTACTGGCAAAAACGTTCGCATAAACGTTCGATACTCGCTGTACACATCAAATAGCTGTGCTTTATATTTATAACTTTCTCGATCTCACCCGAAGAAACGATAGCGAAATGGCCAAAATTGGGAGAAGCCGGTAACCTAGAAATTTACCTCACCTCACATACACACAGTTTATAAAAAAAATCTCGTTTTCTTTAAATACAGTCGACAGCATAATTGATAGGACAAAATTCAATCTAACCAATCTAAGCAATACCGAGCCCCCGAAGAAGCAAGATTTTACGTTCACCGATCTAACCGATAAAGAAGTTCAGTTTTAGTGACAAAACGAAGAAAAAGTCTCTTGTTAAAGAAACGATAGCCAAATAGTCAAAATAGGGAGAAGCTGGTAAATTAGAAATTTATCTCACCTCACATACACACAGTTCATAAAAAAAAATCTCGTTTTCTTTAAATACAGTCGACAGCATAATTGATAGGACAAAATTCAATCTAACCAATCTAAGCAATACCGAGCCCCCGAAGAAGCAAGATTTCACGTTCACCGATCTAACCGATAACGAAGTATTAATCCCCCAGTTCAGTTTCGAGAAAGTCAAATTCCATCGACTTCAATCGAGCCTCTCGATAATTTCCACATCGAGTGGCTCGCAATTCAATTTCACAAAACGAAGGACCAGTCTCTCCCTCCTCACGCGGAGACCTTGATTCGATAGAAATTACTGTTGGCGAGAAAGAACGAGGGGCATGACGGACGAAAGATCGGAAAGGGAAGCGAAGATTGGAAGAACGCGAGCGTAGGAAAGTATAAAGTAAGGGAAAAGTTACGACGAGCTCGTTCGTTTCGAGATGATCGGGACTGGCCCGGGCCGGCACCGCCGGATATTACAACGATAAGGACACTCCACTTTGTGCCGGGCGTATCGCAGAAATTGCCAGTGAGAAAGCGGCCGAGTCCGCGAAAAGTAATATCGTTATCGGGCATCAGATGTCAAATGTGTACGGCGGCCCGAGAGAATCGACGGCCGGAAACGCATTTGATTCGCGGTCGTTCCTTATTGCATTTTCATGGGTGCCATTTTACGATGGACGAATAGTATCCAGAGGATACAATGTTTCCGGGATAGTTGGAAATTGGTTGGTCGTGCGTCTTTCGAAGTTTGTTGTGAATATTTTCAACCACCTCAACGGCTGTTTGGTCTTTTGTACCAAATCTTCCGATACGAGAAAAATTATAACAAAACCGAGGGCCACTTCGAATAACGGTCAATTTTGATTGAATTTGAGTCAACAGTTCTACAGTCCCTGTAGAGATTGTTTTGATAGAATAGAGATAAACATAATTTGTCACTAATAGAGATAAAGTTCTTGACGTTGCGTAGCACTTAACCACTTGCAACCGATTGCGGACCATAACGAGCGACCAAACCGTATACAACAATTCGTCGCTTTCTTTTTGAACTCGTCGGCATGACACCACTAGATAGAAATTATTGAGAAGTAATAATAAATTTATTATTTGTTTTGCCTGGGTTATATTTAAATATACTTAAAACTGACGAAATATTGGAATTTTGGGACAAAAAGTTCTTGACGTGCGTAGCACTTAACCACTTGCGCTGGCAACCGATTGCGGACCATGACGAGCGATCAAACCGTATACAACAATTCGTCGCTTTCGTTTTGAACACGTCGGTACGATATCACTGGATAGAAATTATTGAGAAGTAATAAATTTATTATTTGTTTTGCCCATTTTGTTTTACTTAAATATTACAATTTTGAAACAAAAAGTTCTTGACGTGCGTGCCGCGTCATTCCAGCGCAAGAGGTTAATCGCACCAATTCATTGAATCTCTGAATTTAGTGCGTGCATTCTTAAAAAAATGAAACAGTCGAACGAGGGTGTGTTGTTGTTCTCCCTGTTTACACATAGCGCAATTACTCTAATTCGCGAAACACCTAGAGAAATGCAGGCCAGGCGCGCCTACAAAAGTGGATCTTGGAGTTGAAAAATTTGCCCAACTTTTCGCGAAAGTTTTTCGAACGGCGGCGAAAATGGTACGTGGTCGAGTGAAGGGGAATAACGATTCTGCGTGCATTTCTCGTTGCACAAAGCCGAAGCCTGGCGGAACTGAGGGATTGGAGAAAGATGAACTTCCTCTATGAAGCCGGCTCGGACTTGATCGTAAAAGTTAAAGAGGGAAGTAGAGCGAAAAAGCGTGGGGGAAAGAGTTTCGTAATGATACGAACGAAGAATTGAAGACACAGGGGTGGAGTTGAGGTTGCAAAAGGCAAGGGAAACGCAAGGATAGGTCTTCGATCTTCTGCGTGTAGGTGAAACGGTTCAGGCAAAGAACGCTCAGAAACCATCGTTCCTCAGTCTTTCCTCTTTCACGATGACGTCCCATTTCAAGTTTTCAGCTGACCAGATCCGGTGACTTTCTTTACACAAGCCGAGCAACTTCGCTGCTCTTGACTCTTTGAGGCTTTGATCTTTGCTATTTTCCAAATTTCACCGCTGTCGTTGTCGCGGCGAGTATCGAAATGATTCTCGTACGGCGCGATTCAAGTTTTCATTTCAGCGTTGGAATTGATTTCTTTCTGCACTTTGGCGTATGGAGGATTGTGTACAATTTTGTCTCTTGTTCTCTTGTTTTGTCCTCTGCTTGGTATTCGTAAACCGGTATGTGGACAAATTAATGTGACTCCGTTTTCGAATTTTTCTGAACAACTTTGTCCATCATCTTTCGTTCTACGGGTTTTTAAAGGTAACTTTATAAGTCAGTTGAGTTAACTAATTTAGAGTTAGATGATTTAGAATTTTCAGAGATGATATTATTGTAGAGAATCACTGAAAATTGCTCGAGAAAATGATTTTTCAATTTGTATATATTTATAATAATATAGTATTATATAATATAATATACTATATTATAATACAGGGTGGGTCTAAAATCACTTCCTATTCAAATAAATCCGTAATTCTATTATTATTATTATTATTATTATTACTATTATTATATTATTATTTTTTTACATATTTAATGAAATTAGTTTTTTCTTATATTTCGATGTTTTATTAAAAAAAATAGGTGGGAAGAAACTTTTGGGCCATCTTATATATTGTATTATACAACACAAACTTGAAACTTATGTATTATATTATATTGTACTTGTATCATACGATAGAATATACTTTTTATATGACTTTTCATTTTTATAAACATTTTATAAACATTTATTTTCGCTGAGAAAGGCGAAAATTCGAGAATATTTATTTATTTTCCGGATTGTAACAGACCAGACACCTCTTTTCTCTGAAATTTCGTCACACGAAAGCGAATTAATTCTAAATGATTCGATCTTTCGAACGAAAACTGACGTGTCTTCTGGATTCTCCTGCTCACTCGCGCTGACAATCGTCCCTTCTTTCTTCCTTTTCTCTTTTTTTTGTTTGTCTATTTTCATTCATTCTCGCGTTTCATAAAGATTCTGTAGCGCAACGGGGCACGTTCTCACGAACGCGTGCTGCATTCCTCTCTCTCGATATTACTCGACACGCTTTATTTTCACGACTGCGAACCGGAGCTGTCTATCGCGAGCTGGATGCTCGAACGATTTCCCCACTGTCGTCGTAGCGCGCAGAGGCAGACGACGACAAGGTAATTCGGAGACTCTCAAATTGTACCTCGCGTGTCTCGTATTTCCTGTTGGCCTGTTGCTGGCTGTTGGAACTGGCTTGCTTGGAAAACTCGAGAAGAAAAACTCGATAAAAATGAACGAGCGAGCGAACGTACCTGTATCTCTGTGTGTCCATTTCCTTTCGTTCCTCGGCGATGGCCTCGTTCAGGTCCCTGTTCGGATCGATGCCCCTGGGGGTCGGACTGTTCGCCAGTAGATTGTCGTTGCTGACGAATTCCACCTCGACGTCGTCTTCGTGATACGTTTCGGTCAACGTGTACTCCCGTAGCTGTAACACGCGAGAGGAAACGCGAATGTTAATGCCACGAGTAAAACGATCTTCTGACTTTACTACGCGGCGCGGAGTATCTTGAAACTCTCCGCGTGTTATTTATTACGTTATTACGTAGTTTCTTATAGTTGCAACTAGCTTGGCTCTCAAGGAGATAGATCAATGAAAATTCAGATTTTTATAAAATAAGGAGATTGTTGAATTGGTTTTATCGAAAGGGCAATACATTCGCCACGTTGGATATAATTTAGAACGTATAACATAAGAGTATAAAGTAATAAAATAATAAGATATAAGGGTATAAAGAATAAGATGAGAATTGAACAAAAATATAAATTCGTAATTATAATTTAAATTATAATAAATATTATACCGTACTGTAAATACTGTACTGAATATTATGAATGTAGAGAAAATAGAGCCCCCTTTATCCGAACATTCATTATTCCAATATTTTGACCCATTAACGAAGCAACAGCTTATAATTAGTGTAATTTCAATTTTTTTGAAATTTCGTAAAAACGTACGATTTAAACGGAAGAAATAATGACGCGGGAAATAACAAGCGGATGCTCGGAATTAACTTTCATAGACACGAATAATTAATCATACATATTATGCATATCATTACTGTACATATTATACATTATACATATTATGATTATGACAAATCTTTTCATACATATTAATGAAAAGATTTGATAATGTAAATTGATTGAGAGAATGAAATGTCGCGTTATACGCTGCGTTGTATTATCGAAACAAAATGTCTGCCAGTAACTGGAAAATCATCACGTTTCGATGATACTGAATATCAAGATATCGACAGCAGGAACGTAGATTTCGTGTTCGAATATTTTATATTTTTCTGTGTTCCTACGTATTAAAATTACGCATTAAAATTAATGCATTAATGCATGAACATTCTTGATCAAAATTCCCCTTCGCAATCGCGCTCGCGCTCTTACACCGCCGAGACTTGCCGCGAAACTTTGTCCCTATTTCTTCTGGAAGAAGTTTATAACAAATTTGCAACACTTCGGCCAGGTACACGGTTACAGTGCCACGAAAGCAGTCGTTGTGAAACTGGGTGGAACTTTCGTAGCTGTGTTGCTTCATCATCGGTTTGGAAATTCGTGTATCGACGGAACCACCGGGTTCCAATGGCCGGATTCAAGGTGAGCTCAGCGTTGAACTTGCCGCTGTTCCCGCGCAACGAACCTCGCTTAAATCACCCGGATAATAACCACGCGAGACAGATTATTCGTTGAATTTTCCAAATGTTCTTTTGTCCTTGGAATCGTCGTGGAAAAATCGCGCGATCGTGATTCGGATACGTGTACCCAAAATACGCGTGCAATGTAATCGAAATAGAAGTTTAATTTATTTATCGTTAATGAATGCATAATCGTGATTAAACAGTTACACGATTGAACATCGGACAGGCATATCTTTGTTGCCAAGAATATATGCTGTTTGTTAATATATGAAAATATATGTTACAAGACAATTGTAAGAATATGTATAAAAATGCAAATTATTCCACACATATAAATCATAGAAAATAATTACAAAATATTTATAAATCTCATAGATAATAATTACAAGAGCGAAAACAATATAAGAAAAATGCATTCAATTGGCGCAAGAAACCCAATGAAGGGTTTGTTTATTTAAAACTTTGTCACATCGTGCAAATTAACATCCTCTCTCTTCCACAGAGGATAAAACTTGGATATCTACGCTACTCCGACCTATCTCGACGTGAACCTACACAATATATATATATATATACGCTGTCTCGTATCTACGAACCCAGTTGGGACATCGAAGACGCCCCGATAAGATACAGAAAAATATTCAAAGCCGTGCTAGCGTCTTTTATCCCGTTAACGGCGTACGTTCGCCTCGATAACCGTGGCCGAACGTTCTCGGTTTTTCTCGGCCGGCTTCCGGTACACATCCTGTCATCCGGCACAGCTTTTCTCCGCGGACGAGCGAAGAAAGGAAGGGGGGGGGGGGGGAAGGCTGAGGAGAGAGAGGAAAAACGCGGAAGCATAAAGTCTCGTTCCCTTTAATCCGGTTCGAACCGATCGACCTGATCAATCGCGATTGTGCCGATACTTCGCCGATGTATGTCCCACGGGATATCCTCCGCAGCGGAGAACTAATCACGGTGTGGAAACGCGGGCGCGCAGTTCGTGACCAAGCCGTAGAGCTCGGTTGGATTGTCGCGTTTGAAAATTTCATTCGACAACGTTGGCCAAGCATCCATCCGGCCACTGGCCAACGAGCGAAATTGAGTTTCATACGTACACGTGAATCCGAATCAATTCGACACCCGAGGCATCGACGAGCAACACGCGCGTATCAAATAACCCTAAGTGGTTAGGAAAGTTTAGGTATCGCGAAAATATCTCGGATGTTTAATTTCTTTTTTTTTTTTTTGTTTTGTTTTTTCTTTTTGCAGGAGGTCGGTCAACAGCCAGAGTTAAATCGAATAAAAAATTTCCGTGATTCATTCTTTTTACGAGCTTTCGAACATCGATTCGTGTATATATCTGGGATTTTGCTTGATAACTGGCGCAGTTCTTGGCTCATTGTCGATGCTTGTTGCGCGCGTGCAATAAACGTACAATTATAATATATGCAATATATGCGAAATGTCGATTCGTGTTCGCTCGAATGTTGCCAACGCTTGCAAAACAAAAGACATTGATCCACAATGTACAATGTCTCTCGCTCACAGTGTATTAACTAAGCTTTTGTTTGTTACTTTCTTTGTTGCGGGTATGCGTATGTAAGCACACGAAGCCTCATGGCTGACTGAATAATTCGTAATCTTTTCGAATTACAGTTTGCAATGTTGAACACAATAATACATTAGGAGTATCCGGTTTTCGATACTGTGCAAAATTTTATTTTATTGAAGAGTTAATACAGTTTTTAATCTATAATATAATTTAACAATAAGCACACTAATTGTCAATGTATTTAACTAGAACATAAATTAATTATGTTATAATAAGTTAAATTATTATGGTAACGTTCATTAAATTTGGAGAAAACAACACACTTACTTATGTTATCCCTTTTAATAGTAAAACTAAAAGGAAATAGATCGTATAATTTTTCAAAAAGCAACGCGCAACGTTCTTCCGCTATTTAATTCACCAAGTCGAACACTTTAGCTTCTCAATGATTTATGTATTATTGACTTAATGACTCGGTGTCCATTGAATCAATGTTCCAATATGAATATTGGAAATGAAATTTTCGAGGCAACAGTTTTTAGATTTACTGAGAATCGGTTCGCAGATTTATAAATTTCCTTTTATACAGAGACGTCTTCGATTATTCTTCGAGCATCAGGAAGATTAATAATAATACACTGTTTGTTATAATTAATCCATGTTACTCGTGTATCCAAGAATCACGAGTCCACGAAGGATCTTTCGACTCTGAAGACTTCAAAAAGTACGAAAATTTCAAGGTCTCTTTCTTTTAAATTCGTCGATGTCGAATTCCAAGATAACGCGAATGGCTTGAACGTTGTCGTGAAGTTGAAAACGTAACGCGATACACGTTTAATTGTGTACTAGCTAGCCGCTATGCAGGTAGAGTGAGCTTTATCGGAAGAGGAGAATTAACCGTGTCGTATTCTAGAGCGCGGAGTAAGGTAATTACATAGCGATAAGGTCTCGTCAGCCACCGACAGAAAAGGATTAAATGGAACAGAGATGAAACCTGTTCTTTTATCTCTTACACGAGTTTTCGAAGGTAATACGATGACGAAGTTCCAGCTTCCTCTGGAACCTATCTACTGTGTCGGGGGCTTTGAAACTGGGCCGAGCGCTAATTAAGGTCTAATTAATTGTTTCACGTACGGTGGCAGCTTCCAATTATGGTTTCCAATCGATTATCAGCGTCTGCTGTAGAAGTACGGGTTCTTATTGAACGAAACGGAGAACGCTAATACGGAGAGAAGAAAAAGAAAAACAGAAAAAAAAGGAAGGAAAGAAGGAAAAGAAATAGAAGGGCGAAAGAAACTTTACGATCCCTAGAAAGATAGAAAGAGAGAGAGAGAGAGAGGCAAATCTATTAGACTGCGTAATGAAAACTTGCAAATCTATTAGATTATACGATAATATCTTTGACAGTGTAAATACACTTTGGAAAAGTATTATAAATATATTGTCTGTTTCGTGTGTACAAGACACGAATCGTAATAATTATTTAATATATAATTATAACAATTAGAGAATAGAAAGGAATAACTTTAATCATTAAGAAATGTAGGAAATAATGACATTAATTATCGTCACAAACTTTTGATTCTACCTGGATAGAATGTCGATCCTTCCCGAGTGGAAAAGTTTTTTTTATGCTAAAAGCAGGGAACAAGGTACAATTCGGCATAAGAAGCTTCGGAGCTTTTGCAGAAAAGCGGATAATGGACTAAGAATTATCGAAGAACGTAATCTTTCGATTTATATCCCGTTGAGAAAATTTTCGATGAAATTAATTAGAAAATCCAACGCAGTCTACAAAAGTTCGAATCGATTTCGTGGAATCGTTTTATGGATTGACAAGAGACGTAGACGAGAGAACAGTTTTAATAGTACATGTGACTTGTAAAAGGAATTCCTCACAATCCGTGGGTGAAAGCTTTAATGAAAATTTCCATCGAAATTATCTCATTCATAATTTATAGTTCAATATTATGATTCATAATTTAATCATAAATTTTTTTTCAACTGTATCTTACGTTTTGTGTAAATATTCTGACACTTCAGATTTTCCAGATTTATCTCATTTTCTATTAGTATTCTAGTGCTCTTGAACCTATAATAGTATATATATAATATTGTAAGATTCACAGAAAATAAGATCGTAAAGAACTTGTAAATTTTATCAAACATGTAAATTTTAATAAATTCTTTACGATCTTATTTTCTGTGAATCTTGCAATATTCATAAACGATGGTGTACTTACT